TTAATTTTAAGGAAAAAATAGGTTTTGACATCAATTTTAACTAAAGGACCAAAAAAAGCCAAAATTCAAAACTTTAGAGACCAAAACAGGGATTTAGTCAGTTTAGAAAGCAAATCAGGGTTCCATACCAAAGTTGAGGGACCAAATTGAGGTTTAACCTTTTTGATATAAATTGTGTGTTTCTTTGTTCCAGTGTCCCAAATCAGAGCCAGAGGCAGGCTTTTCTGTGGGAATATGATATGCAACTCTTGGTATTTGAGGATGATTAGAAACCAAATGGTTTAACTCATATCATGATGTTATAAGCAAAATTTTAATTAGCAAGGCATGTCAAGATGAGACCAAGGATAAGCTATTGCCCTTTGTCACATTCCCTAGAACAATCAAATCTCAGAAGACAAAGGAAAATACTTATTTTTCATCCTCCTATTATGTGAGACTAGTTTTTCTGGAGAGCTGTTGATGCATTTTTCCCAGGATGATAACACATTGTCCATAAAAATAGTCCACATGAATTATGTCCTTGAAGACCATCATTAGAACACTTCAAATCGGTCTAATATGACATCAACAATAAATTCCAAAGATAAGAACAGTAAAGTTATTTTCCCTATTTCAGAAATTTACACAAACTTAATTATATTTGATCATGTAAAATTATAGCATTGAAAGTTTTTTTTTTTTTTTAATCAGAAATTACAGCATTGAAAGTAGGTTCATATTTACCAGGTCTCCCAGATTCAAGCTTCTCTTTTCCATGGCTCCATCCAAAGTTGTATCTACAGAAAAAATGGAACAAAGAGCTAAAACACCAGCGTGATGTGGTGGAAGCATTATGCTCAAACAACCATCAATTCAGAAAATAAGAATCATATTCCAACTTCAATAAAATATAGGATTAAAGTGCTAGAAATTTTCAGGAAATAGAATATATAAATTTTTGGAAAACAAAAATGTTATGGAAAATTTGATAGGTGCCATGCAAATTCACTTAATTTATTTTCCTTTTCTATGTTTTTCCAACATGGGCCATAAAAGTAATCTAAGAATTTGTAAGTAGATTAGGCATCTGGATTTGTCATGGACCTTGTGGTACTCCAAGTTCCTGTACATTTCAAGATTTCAACAGTTAAGTCCTGATTTCAGTTAGGATGCTAGTAAGCTACAAATACTGCTAAAGTCTTCAACATTATAGACATCAGAAGGACTTTCCAGCTGAAAAAGCTCAAGGGATCAGAAGATACAATTACAATCCTGGGCATAATACCTAAAGAAATTTTTCTAGCCTTTTTAAACATTTTGATCATGAAATTTAAACTCATTTCATAAGTCTATCAAGTATATACCTAAAATTAGAAAATGTCATACGTGATGAAATACATGATAACAAACAAAAAAAACAGCAACTGAAGATAACTATAAAATTCAGTTGTTATGCAGAAGAAAATGTAGTCCATTAAATTAAGTTCCTTGTCCAAATAGGTTTATGTACCTCCTAATTCTCCTGAACCATGTTCTATTGGTCACTGGTCAGGAGTAGATTTAGAAAGTACTTTGCAATAACAAACATATAAGCAATTACATGGGGCAACAAAAAGGTGCAAGTAATAAAAGCTGTTTACTCCACTTTTACCATCAGAAGATGGTTTTCCTGTGTTGAGAATAAACTGATATTTTCTTTTGTCATTTTCTATATCACAAACTTTTGACAAAATCTGGTTGAATATCAAAGTGAGGATAGCCTCAGAAAAAGGAAACTAAAGGGTGAGATGCTGACTCAATCTTCTCAAATAACATGCATCATCAAATAAGGTTTTCTGTCAGAGCAGTATCAAAATAGAAACAGAAAGTCAACAGAGAACATATGAGAGTTAGAAGAATGAAAAATAGAATATTACCGGCTATGGGGATCTTCAAGTTCCTTCTTCACCTCCTCAGGCAAGCTGGCTAATCTGTTAAAAGTAAAACAAAAGGAGAGATGTTATGATTAATAGATGTTGTGATACATTTAGTCTTTTTTTGTTTTTTGATCAGCAATGAATTTAGTTCTTAGCATTACAGGGATATGTTGAATAATTGAATTGTGATACTTTTAATCTATTTAATAATGATTCATACAACTGATACAAAGGAAAACATTGGAAATCTATTTTGAAGCATGTACCTTGGTGAAAGATGTAGAAGATTTTGGCGCAAAAAAGAGAACCCAGGAACCTATAATGCATGTAGGATCAAACATAAACAAGAATTCACAAGTGCACATAAAAAACCATGTAATCATT